CCAAATTAATGATTGTATCGAAGTAATAATTGATGAATTATGTAATGCTGATTAAAATTTGATAAATTAGCAGGTTATACTTTAAATAATTATACTGAAGATGCTCGTTTTTCATTTGATATGTGGAATCATTTTGATTCAATTAGTGAACGGCCGCGTAAAAATAATCACGTAGAAGGTTATCATAGACAACTAAATGCACGCGTGCGAACGAATCCGATCACTGGACATGGATTAATGACGTTCGTGCATCTGAAGAATCTGTTATGTGTCGTTATGAACAAGAACAAGCTCAAAACCGTACAACAAGGCCACGAAAAATGAAAAACATACGTGATGATGTGACGCTTAACCCTTCGACGGCGGAGTTATTTTTTTCCATAAAACATGGAGTTGAATTGCCAAAATCAATTATACTTTCAAAATTAGCACTGATCACAACTGCTTGACTTATTAGAGTTGATTTAAAGATGCATCCGGTTTATTTTGAAGTGAAAAAACACACGACAAGGAACAAACCTAAAAATTTAACAATGTGTGAAAATTCTTAAAACAACCAGCTACGCAAAGACCAACATCACAATCTGCACACATATAACGTGAATCTGGTCTTTTTTTAGTATGTGCACATACGACACAAATTTTCTGAGGATGTTTTCTTTCCGTTGTTTGAGGTACAAGAGAAGGAAAGTGTCAAACAGTAAGTCTAGTTGATTTCCAGGCTTGTATAGGACGTCCTATTGTAGTTTTTGGAGTTTGATAAGTTTGCAAAATTTCACGTATAAGTTGTAAACGAAAGTCTACCAGTTGAGGTCTCTTTCCAGTTTCCATTTTGTACAGCAAATATGAGTTCAGGACTATCAGATCCAGCATATGAAAAAATAATTTTTTATACTATTTGACAGATTTTCTTACACATTCAACAAAACTGGTTTGCATATCAACTTTATCGATTGCTCCTCTATTAGAATTATACTCAATCACTGGAATTAGTTTTTGAATTGATCTTTTAGTTTTTGGATCATTTTTTCCGGTAAATTCTATACGAGCTTCATGGATAGTATATAACATTATAACTTCTCTTTTATCAAACCATTTTAATGCCAGCATGTTATCTTTGCTTTGATAAACTTGTTGACCTTTCCCAGGTTTATCTTCAAACTTAGGTAATCCTGCTCTTGCAGTACCACATGCACCGGTGGATCTTGTATGTAACTTTTCAAAAAGTGTAGGACTTGTAAACTAACTATCTAAGAATAAATTATGACCTTTATCTAAATAAGGTTGCATCAAAGTCATAACAATTGAACTAGAAACTCCGAGATCTGAAAATCGCATTATGTTAGATGTAGCTCCTGTGTAAATAATGAAATCCAGAATCATTCCAGTGCGAACATCACATATCACGTATGTTTTGATCCCGAATCTGCTCCTTTTAGATGGAATGTATTGTTTGAAACTTAGTCGACCTTTCCACAACATCAAGCTTTCATCGATACAGATATTCTGATAAGGAACTAAGACTTCTCTGTATCTCTTCCATAAATAAGTAATTATTGGTTTGATTTTATATAGTTTATCATCAGATGGTCGATATCCATTGTCGTTGAGGTGTAGAAATCGCAAAAGCAAATGAAAGCTGTCTCTACTCATGATATCTCCAAACATAGGTGTAGAGATCAGTGGATCAGTAGACTAGTATTCTTTTTTTCGACTTTTTCTTGTATGGGCCATTAGCATGAAAGTTGCAAAAAATGTATACATTTCGGGTCCAGTAGCTTCAATTGCTTGTTGATATCTTTCAGGTAGATTTTCGTGTTGGACTGTATACAAATGATATTTATTTGTTTCTTCAACAATTGTTTGCATCAAACTGTGGTCAAATATCAAAAGAAAATAATCCAGTGGTCTATTTTCATTATCTTTTGGTAAATATGAATTGAGACCAGAGGCACTTGAATCAAATGTGAATCTTTTCGGCTCAAACCACTTCACTCTCCATCATCGCTCTTCAAAAGATTCTTGTACATTCTGTTCGCCATCATCATTATCGGATTCATTATCAAAATCGCAAGCAGAATCAGTCCCTAATTCATCGCCTGGTTCCGAATTAGGCGCGTAACGCTGTGACATAAAGGGACCCTAAATCAGAAGTACTCTTCCTTAAGTTCTAATTTCCTGCGAAAGTCGCTGTCCAAATTAAATGTCACAAGAGCAAATTTTGTAGAGCTTTCGACGAGCTTTTCAATGGTAAAAAAAGATTTCTTCGAACTATTTTTTTCGCGTAGGAAATGCAAAAAACAAACGTAATGCTGTGACATTTTTCGTAATGCTGTGACACCTTTTTTTTCGAAAATTGACATATACTTTTTACTTAATGTAAATTCGTCTGAGCACGCTGTTTAAACGTTCAAAGAGACATTTCTACGACTCTTATCACTAAAGATCGCGTTGGTATGTGTGAAGGCCTCTTAGATCTCTGTTAGACTCCATATTTCCTGCTGCAGTGAACTGTGCTTCTGCTATAGGTTTAAAACATACTCAGAGGCTCTTTGCCACTAGAATATAAGTGCACGCTATCTTAAACGCTAGTGTTTCTCCAGCTCGGGACGAAGACCCGGTCTCCTTTGAGCTGGATATTTTTTTTGTTTTTTTTGTGATGTTTCTATCAGCGAAATGCTTTTTCTACTATTTTCTTTTCGTCTTATTGGCATAAAATAACAAAATCTAGAGTGAAGAAAACGTTTTTCTACATTTCATCGACTGTTTAAATGCAAACATAGTGAGAAAAACAAAGTCAAACAAAAGTACTAAAAATGTAGATATTTACTATCAATATGTTATAGTCTTTTTTTCAGAACACGTAGAATAATGGCGTCATGGGATCACTAAAGTAAAGAATAATGGCACTTGAAGTGGTATAAATAGGAATGCCCTTATCACGTAAATCATATACAGTGATTGAATAAAATTATATTCAAAAAGAGACGGCAATAATAGTGATTGTTATTATTCAGCTTTATTCGTTACACTGACTCGTCTTGCATATTCTGAAATTTTTTTCTGGATTATTATGGCATCTAGTAGTACAACTGATTCAGATGTTGCTGAAAGTTTTACAAATTCGGAACCAGGCGATGAATTAGGCACTGATTCTGCTTGCGATTTTGATAATGAATCCGATAATGATGATGGCGAACAGAATGTACAAGAATCTTTTGAAGAGCGATGATGGAGAGTGAAGTGGTTTGAGCCGAAAAGATTCACATTTGATTCAAGTGCCTCTGGTCTCAATTCATATTTACCAAAAGATAATGAAAATAGACCACTGGATTATTTTCTTTTGATATTTGACCACAGTTTGATGCAAACAATTGTTGAAGAAACAAATAAATATCATTTGTATACGGACTTAATTAATCTGTGAAAGAGGTGTGTCTCAAAAGAAAACTTGTCCAAAAATCCGATAGTGTAACTGTGACTAGCGAAAATGTGACTAGCGAAAATGAGACCTGCTTAGATAAGGGAACAGAGAGCTGAATTTGCCGTGTACACCTAAATTTACTACCTGCCTCTTTATTCATACTGATTTTTTCAAAAACTAAAACTTTTTGTGTATGGGACTCTCGCGGGACTTTTTGTGGAGTCCCTTAGGATTCCCTATGGATTTTTTGAGAAAAAAACTCCTGCGGGAGTCCCGCGGGAATCCATCGGGACTCCCGCCGGGACTCTCGACTAGGGTTAACCAGCGATCGAAAGTTTTCTTGCCCAGCGGTATCCGAAAAAACCAATTTCATCTGTTTAACATCTAGATTAATTGTTCGAACTTGAAAATCTATTCCACTTGTTGGCAGAAAATCTGTGCAATAACAACTTTTGATATAAAACAGTCGCTTAAAAGGAGTGTTTCTTATGATAGCTGAGACACTGATTTCATCATGTTTTACCCGGTTTTCTCTTCGGGAACATACTGCAATCAGGGTCAATCATTCACCTCAGACCCACTTTAGTTCTACTTTAAAAAGGTTCAAAAAGCAGATATAAACTGCAAAAAAGTTCGAGTATAGAAGTAGTCTACTTTTAAGAAATAAAATGCCTTATATATATACTTAGGGTATACCAAAAGTAATGACGCCAGTATCTTATTCCTTACAAGAATGCCGCAACAAATTTTCTTTTTTCATGTGGTCGTAGAGGAGAAGATGCTTTATTTTTCTGTACTATTTGATCAC